CTCTATAAGCGAACTTGTGTCACTAGCGTCCCACAATGCAATTTCGTTCACAGCAAGCTCTGATAGAGCCACGGCGCCTGTAACTATGAGTCGACTTTGAAGCCCCAATAGTGTGGTCTCATTCGTTTCTAAACTGACAATCGCGCTCGATGGCGAGTGGCAAAGCCATTCTTCCACAACGTGATCCGATTCGATGTGAATTTGCCGCAGCTCTCCGTCATGATTTCCGATTAGCATGTCCTGCTGGTCCTGGCCAAAAAACCGAGCGACACTCACTCCTCCCCACGCAAACGATCCCACATGTGCTCCGACAGTGCGGTAAGGACGATAGCGACTATAGATGTAGCGATTAATTCCGGAATCGGCAAAAGATGTCAAGAATGTGCTCGACCCCATGGAAGACCCTGTGCGACCGCGACGCAATAAACGAGAGCAGATGCTTAAGTTTGACAGCGTTGTTGCGGAAAAATCTGGGCAGCGATGCCGCGATCCTTTACCTAACAACTTAAATGGCGGTACTGTCGTGACTGGATTGGCGCATTGGCGATGCTGCTCTCTTAAGTAGTGAGTGATGATATCATCCAGCTTGCTCGAAACCGATACTGAATCTACTCCATTGTTTGCGCACAATCGCGTGTTTTTTGGAAGCCTTTGATGTGCATCTGTGCGCACTGTATCAGATGCAACTTGAGGGCGCCTGTCCCGCGGCGTTGGCATAAAATTTTGAAAGAAATGCGGTTTTTGGAAAGTCTGCCACATGCGTTTTCTCGAATGGCTACATTGAGTGGCTGGCATCGTCATCTTGATTTGTCTGTCCAAAGGTCGCGACATACTTTCATCAGAGCGATCCACGACCTGAAACTTTTTCAGCTCTGGCACAATCGAATCAAGAGAAGAGACTCGTTGAAGCTTTCTAGGACGAGACATTTCATCTCCACTAAGATACCCACTTTCCCTCCGGTGTAACACGCTGGATGGGACTTTCTGATCTTTTTCGGATAGCTGTTTATGTGATGGAAATCCAGAACTTTCAACACTTTTCTGACTTGAAATGCCACAAGAAGATATTGCGTTTGTGGACGGTATCTTTGGCAACCCAACGTCGATCTTTGCTTCGTCACACAAGGCGGATGCGGTGTGGTGTAATCCCTTTGTAAGTAGATGATCGTGGATCAGCCTTAGTAGCTCATTTTCGTCGTACGCAATCTTTGTATTCGCAACAATACTTGCTTTTTCAATTTTTCTAACCGTGGGATCGGTTGCCTCATTGATTACCACATTGGAAGCCCGATGCGTCACATGTGAGATCAAATCTAAAGCAGATTCCCGAAAGCGCACATGAATATCAGCGTTCTCCTCCAGCACAGGATCACTACGGATCATGTCTGACAGTAGTTGACCAACTTGCATTTTCTCGATAATCTGAGAAATGTGGCGGTCTCGAGACAGACCGAGTAAGGATCGAGTAGCTAACAACCGGATCGCATCAGCATTTTGAACCGAGCGCTTGTAACGCAACAAGTAGACACACACTTTGATTGCGTTCCGTTCGCGTGCAAGCTTTCGCACGGGCCTCAGCATCTTGTCATCTTTTGCCTTCGGGCAGCAATTCGAGCAACTGTCAGGAGTCGACATATTTGCATCTTTATCTGCAATCTCAATATTTGAATGTTGTGACTGATCATCTTTTCTCGTCCTCATACTTCTTGCCGTCAGCGTGTATTGCCGGATATCTTTTAACGGATGCTGCCAGCAGTCTTCGTGATGAGGAGGCGATACGCAATTGCAAAAGACACGCAAAGCGTCACGCACGAGCTCCGAGTCTCTGGGATTGCTGCTCATAGCAATCTCAAGCAAAATGGTTATCCCAACTTTCTTGGAAGAGCTATTTTCCTCAAAAATCACTTCTGTGGAACAAACTTCGTTTGCTAGAGATGGAACAACAAGCGTCAATACACGAAGCGAGTCCAAACAAAATTGTGCGCGCTCGGCCGTCCATATCCGAACCGCCGATGAATTTGCATCAGGGTCTGTGTTTTGCACTACAGAGCACATTATGGCTACAACCTCCAACAGCGCAAGGATTCCACGCAGATGGTGTAATTTGGCCGCAGGAGGCCACATTCCCCCTCCTGGACCGGTTGCAGCTGACCACGAATTGTTCAAGTTACCACTGCTAGCGCTAAAGCGGTACTTTTCGTAAAATACCATGTTTTGCTCATGTGTTTTGTCATCGAGATCAACAGCTTTTGACCACGTTATTTTCGGTACTCGTGCTGGAATTCGCGATGCTGCAGTGGCTGCAGTTAGCAAGGGCGCAGTGTTGTTCTGTCGATTAGACGGATTGTTTAATTGGGCTAGTTTTCTTCGCAGTCGATGAGTAACTAGGGCCATGTGCATGCGAACATACTGCCGCAAACACAAACACGCATCTTGTGCAAGTTGCCTTTGAGCAACCGATTTTGGATAATTGCCGACCCGGATAATGTTGAGTATAGTATACAGACCGTTGTGTTTTTCAAAGTAATCAAGAATCACCTTGTAGTTTAATGTCAAGCTGAAAAAAACAACAGCGTTTTGTCTTGCTCGATCGTTAGGACTAGACAGTAGCTGATAAGCGGCAGAAAACATGCTGTCATGATTCATGGCCACAAGACGCTCAATTACTGCAGATGACGAAGCAAAGCCATGAAGACACATAGACAAGCTGCGATCTAGTAAACCCACCTGACCAGCTGCCTGTTGCAGTTTGAACACTGAAAAAAGTAGATCCACACCCCCTGTCTCAACAAGTGAGAAAGAAAATTTTTTATGAGCAAGAAAATGGGACGTCAAAGTCATCGTATGCGAGATCACAGCAGGATTTTTACTATGTAAAAAAGTGATGATTGTCCCAGTAATATCTTCTCTTAAAGCCGGAGCAAGAATCTCAAGATATTCACCCATTGATCCGAGACAATCGAGTGTATACAGCAGCTCCAGCATGACCAAACGTTTGAAGTCCTCTTCATGATGCTCTGGACTTGGCAGAACAACCGTTCCCTCGTCCCCCAGAACCCCCATTACATCCTCTTCATGATTTAATATCGAAAGCGGCTCTTGAATATGGATTGTAGCCGTCGGCTCTTCTTCCTCATTAGTCTGCTCGCTAGTAACAGTCTCTGTATTCTCACTGTGGTCACTCATATGATTAGCAGCTCGGTTTATAGTATCTGATAGTTTGCGCTTGGACGGCCGTTGCGGTGTAGTCGCTTTAATCGAGATCCCACCTCCAGAATTCAGAATCTTTTTGTGGCGATGAGATGCAATAACACAAAGGTGATCTTGAATGTACTTAACAGCTTGCTGTTTTTCCTTTTCCAGCTTAGATGCAAACATTCTCGCTCGTTTTAGCAGTTTGACTGGTGTCGCACTATTTACAACCGTGTCAGCAACTGATCGATCTCTCAATCCAACCGACAACAATCCTGTGGCATAACATCGTAATCCCGGATCAGAGTCAGTAGCAAAGCTACATACGCGCTCGAGCATCTCTTCATCGTCATCCAATACGCGCACAATCGTCCGACTATTCACTGGAACCGTTGCCAAAAGCAAGCGACATGCAGCTGCCTTGACACCGTTGATGCTCAAATCTGATAGTTTCCCTTCGAGCTGCCATGTAATAACAGATGTGGATGTAAGTTGAAGCTTCCTCATTTCTTTTGAAAGGTTTTTTAGTGTAAGTAAAGTATTTACCATTGGATAAAAGTCTTCATTTTGCTCAAGCACCTGGAGAAGATTACCAATCAAGTGACCTGGTAAGATAATTACCATGTCAGCAACAGCAAGCTATAATTTAGCTGCTGTAACTTTGAAAGTTACCGTCGCGGCGGTAGGGCGACGATCTTTCCTTTCGAAAGTTTGTTTCCACTTCTTCCAATGTTTCTGCAATCCTAGACATTATCATATTCGATTAAATTATAAGCTTTTGCGTCTGTTGTGGATCGAAACGTACATGTTTAGCTTGGTAATCACCTCGTTGTCTGAGAGGGCTGGCACGTTCTGATTCGTCTGAGTAAGCTCTTGCGATAGCTGAAGTACACGCACCTCCAGCGGGTGTAGTAAGTCCTCGTTGCTGGCATTGGCTGAAGGCGACTCCATCCTCTTTATATCCTTACGTCTAAGGTTTTTACTGCAAAAGTCAAGTAAGCAAGATAATGATACCGACAGCTACCGGTATCTTATAGAGCATTGTTGATGCGGTTAAAAGCTTGTCACATGTAAATACTACTTGAGCGCAAAAAACATACACATCCTTTTTTTAAACCAAAATAGAAAAGAACAAATTAAGGTTTCGATTACGATGGCAACGCTGAGCAAATGACTAGAATTAGACTTGTATGAAAAAGCTTAGTGGTAAGAAACGATACCCGGCACACAAATTTTGGAAGGCGTATCAAACAATCAAAGCTGAAGCGTCATTGTAGCACAGTGATGAGTATCTTATGTTTATTATTGCACAAACAAGAAAGTCGATATGAGAAGAAATGGATCTTCGAGCTATGAACACAAGGTTCTAGTTTGCCGTATCCACTTGCCAATTCAGTAACAAAATCGCACTTCGATATATGTGCATGTCCGCGTGTTGTGGTCTCTTTACTGCAACTAAATTGCGCGTACTTACCGAGCTATTGTTTAAAATTGTGACGTTTTATCTGTCGTACGACAACAAAAGATCAACCAATACATTCCGTTTTCTTGTCTGGATTCGTACTTCTCGCAAATACACAGCTAATACCGGCTCGCTGCCCTTTGCTCTGGCTCATTACTCTGGACATATTGTTTAATCGTCCGAAACACGCTCTAATCACGGCTTTATTGTTCGTGTCACTTAAGAGTTTGTTTGTGCCGGGCTACCGTCCAAAATTCGCCGGCGCGTGATGAAGCAATATGGTATCAACACAACAAAGACCATCTAAAGTCACAAACACAAAAGCTCAGGAGACAAAAGAACCATCAGCCTAATTAATATATTACTGTGTGGTGTCAGCGCATTATGATGACACGACGATCTCAGCCATCTCACTGATACTTTTTGCAATGCCTTCTGCCCCACTGACTAGACAGTTAAGTAGTAAAAGCTCCTCCATAGAAACCTTTTCGTACCGTTGGTCTTCGAGCAGCCATTCCACATACGCAGTTTTCATCTGTGCAGCAATGTCACTAGTACCAAATTCCTCGACATTAAGGACGTCATGCTCACGGCACATCGCTTGGATAAACGATGCAGCCGATGAAGCTCTTTTATCCATCTCGATAGATGAGGTATGTGAAACTCTCCGATAACTTCCCCGAGACGGCATTGGGGGACGTAAATCGTCATCTTTGACATCGAGCGCTTCCGATAAATTCGACTGAATTTTGTCGCTGCTCAGAACCTTCGATTCGTCGCTATCATTGTCGTCGCCTCCGTCATCCTCGGTAATTGCTGCCAGCATGTTTTCACGCCTCACAACCAAAGCCGGGGCCTTAGGTTTCCGACGGGTATATACCTCAACTTCGAGCTTAAGGCCATTTTCTAACGCCTCTACAAATTCTTCAAAAGAAACTTTGCCGCTTTTGTCTTTATCGACCGCAAGCATAAAGTTCTCAACGTATTTCTGAATTTCGCCTTGCTTTACAACACCCGACTGAGAAAAAATCGTTTCCAGCATGACAGTAACCTCGTCCGAATCAATTTCACCACTACAGTCCTTGTCAGCAAGGCGAAATGCCTCTTTCATTTGCATAAAGATCGCAGTCTGGTCCGGTTCTAAATACAAAAATGCATCACTAAAGAGAACCTCTAGAGTCTTAAACGATTCAATAACAGCAGTTCGAAAGTGGCTACTAGCCACCTGCCACTTTCCATGCGTACTCATGCTGTCGACAGAAGGTCTGCCTATGTCGCGAATGTCGATACTGCTGCGGCGAACAAAATTGCGCTTCACACGATAATCAAACCATTGAACCAACTTCAACAGTAACGTATTGTTGTTTAAAAGTCGACGCGAATTTTCAAGAATTTTTTCATATTTCCGAGCTGAATAAGCCCGCCTCCATAATACTGGCTCCGCTTGAGCTTCAGTTAACAGCGCTGCTTGTGCTACAAGTTTTGCCGGAATTTTTACCTGCAATATCTTGCGAAGATGCTCGATTGCGTCGGAATTCATGGCACTTGAGTTTGTCAATTGATGGCCAAATAGAGCCTCAAAAGCTTCGAGCTGTAACTTTAACGTCTTTTGTATGTTTCGACGGAGTAAACTCAATGCACTTTTTGGAAAGATTAGTAACTCAACCAAAATGAATAGGATGATACCCACTGAGGTTTGCGCAAGGCTAGAATATGAACTTATCGCGATTGATGAAGCATCGTCAAGCGAAGTGTTGTCGCACATATCGGACTGGCGCATCAAAATGCCAGTTGATACGAATGCTGAGACTAAACCGGCGTACGAGCTGTAGCCACCCATGTAACAAACGTACATAGATATACAAACCCAAACAAAAAGCACAATGTTTATTAGCACCACATCGAGGTGCTTTGGATTGCAGATTTGTGCGATAAAGAACTGGAAAACTGAAGGAATGACACTTCCAGCTACGACGCCTCCAACGCGATTTACTGTCGCTCGAAATGATCCTCCAAAAAACTTCCCCATTACGTATGCTATGGTACTTGGAACGGTAGAATTGTAGCCGTAGACGTATACTGACAAGAAAATTCCGAGGATAATCGCAACACATCCTCGAAAGTTGCTCAGCAAAGCTTGTCCGTTCGTGTAATGATGCAGCTTAAAGAAATTAGCGACTGAAGTGATGACGAATGATCGGATCCGGTGGACGTCCGTGTAAACCTTTCTGTTGTGAATTTCTTGAAATTCAATCATGGTGCTGCAGAAAGAATTGAGCGAAAAAAGAAACAAATTCAATGGCATGTTGCCAGTCATTTCTTCGACTGTAATTGGGTTCATGCGCAACGTTCGATTTTGTGTCGAACGATAACGGTGAAGAGTGGTCTCCATTTGTGTTTCAAGCTTCGATATCGACGCAAGTTTGACTTCTGCATCACAATCATTCAATTTTTTATCAATTATCAAAAGAGATACTGACAATTGGATGATTATCACTTACCACGTGAAGATAAGTGTACTTCACGCGCAATTTCGTGCAGAAGATCACCTGAGCGTGTCTGAATCACATAGATCTCGCGCTGTAATACCTTCATGTATGTAAAGTGAAGCTGCTCATACTTCTCGAGCTGCATCGCATAACTAAGTGTACGCAAGTCGGATATTAATGAGCCTACAACTTTGACGTAATTCAACATGATTGGGCGATGAAATTTAAGCACATAATGAAAGCCGAACGACTGCTCCCACCAAGCGTCTTCTAACAGTGCTTGCATTCGGCGATGGCGAGCTTCGGTAGCTTCAAACTTTCGCTGAAGCTTTAACTTGAGAAAATTCATGTGATCGACATTTTTATTCTTGAAACAATACGAATCGATGATAATATTTAGCAGGTCCAGCACATCTTCAGCCACAAGTGCCGAGTCTTTTCGCAATCGAGTAATCGCACTACAGAACAAATATATCAATACTCATCGCTCATTGCAATACTGAAAAAAAGCCTCAAGATTTACAAAATGGGGTATGGCATGAACATGATGGCAAGCGAAACAAAGGAGCCAACAATTCCGATCAGAAAGTAGACTTCTAGATTTCGTAAAATATTAGCTGTCCGGAAACGTGAATCATCCGATGTTTTAAGTCCTGGTCCACCGAGTGGGTCCGCCGGGTCGATAACTGTGAGAACTGCAAGTTTTACAGGGTAAATTAATTTTAAAATGCGCATCATAGAACGACTCTAAAGCATATCGTACGCCTTACTGAAGAAAAGGTTGTTAGCTACGGCAAATTTCTTTGTTGTTGCAGCAAACGGGCAGACCAGAACGACTACCGTAAAAATGATCATCCAAGGCAACGTTGTAAAGAAGTTGTGCTGATTGACCCAGTACGTATTATTCGAAAATGCTTCGTCAATCTCAATGTAGTCTTTATAAGGATCTTGAGCATCTTTATCTTGTGTCTTCACATCCATACAAGCAAAAAGTACGATACTGAATACAAGCGCCATTCCCACACCAAGAATAGCGTGCCAAGCCACCATGAGCGTACTACCAATTGTCTTTCCCGTAGTAAAGATCACGGCGATCGCACAATAGCTTAAACCACCGAGATAATACCACGAAGGAAATAAAACCCATTTTTTGCTGTCAAACTTCGAGGGATCATGGTCCGAGACGCGAGTCTGGATAGAAGAAGCAATTAATACCCCGAACGCCACTCGCAGTGCCAATTGTGCATTAAATCGAAACTCCCCTGAACAAATTGTAATCAAAACGCAGACAGGATGAATCAAATAGTCATTGCAGTATTCCTGCATGCAGCCTTACGTGAAAATCGCTGCTGTTTCAACGCCCTTCTACGGCCAGTCTTAAAATCAATGCGTAGTTTGGCAGCTTTGTCAGCGAAGTCGTCGCTACCGACGCTGCTCACTGTTTCTCTGCGCTGAGATCGATGAACAATCGAGTTTGATTCACGATGAATCGCGCTTTCACAATCTGATGCCCCTCCTGTGTGCAACGGCTCAGTCAGATCACTACAAAAATGACAGTTAATTCATGAGATATGTTGCAGCAAGTAGCAACATTTTAAACCTGTTACGTGAACGCCCAAGCATGCTTGCCTTTTCGAAAAAGTAACAATTTACGATGCGTTGAATTGCTCTTAGAGGTGTGACTTTACCAGATCAGTCGTTTCAGATTCGTCTAAGAATTTTACAACAAATACTATAATAAGACATCTCGAAGCTGGGTCTTGATTGCATTTTTCAAACCGATTTGTTAATAAGCAGACACACTCATTGAATTTGAACTTCTTTCACATGGTTCGAATTGTGACGAGAATTTAGAATCGATTCGGACGCTACTGCATTTGAGTTAAGGCTACTGAGTATCTCAAAGCTTATTCAATCGTACGTCTACTGACTTATGAAATCGGCAGGAGTGTCATACTCAATAATTCCGTTTAAAGATTTATAACAATGATGCACGACAACACGACGACTGAGTCAAAGGTCAATGAGAATCAAAAACGAAATGCTTTATAGTCAGCGTTAGTGACGTGTCAAGTGGTTTGAGTACGACTTCCTGTACACAACTTCTTGTATAGACGAGATCATAGCGGGAGGTTGACGATACGATTGTGTTGATTATGAAGCCATCAATTTCATACGGCAAGCACTTATTCTAGTAGTGTTAGCTCATGGGAATTGTTTAGAGCCCAATTCTGTATGTAGTGTACAAGAAAGACAAAATCTTAGAATTCACACTTTGAGCGTCGCTAGATCCTTGAACACTAAGGGATCTCGTCAGGACATCCGGCCTATAATCTAATGGGATTGGGAAATCTTGAAAATTGCTCAGGTCCAAATCTTTTCTAGCTTATAGGTACGCATTCAAGGTTTCTTGCTGTCTTGTGTCAACACATTCTGCAACTGTTTAACTTCGACGAATATCTTGTTGGATTTTTGCAATTGTAGTCCCGTAATATTGTCTTCGTCAACCTTACGCAAAATACGATTTTGTACAGTTAGTGTTAGCAATTTTCAATATATCACTCGTGAAACAGCATAGCAAACTTACTCTTGATGCTCTTGGTTCCACCCCTTATCGAAGCGTACGAATGCAACCTTTGTGCGTTTGCCAATGCATATTTTTTTGATCCAAAGATTTCAGTATGGCTACGCCAATGCACTTGGTGGCGCTAGTACTCAATTCGACTACCGAGTCGAGAAACAATCAGATCTACTGTGGAGATGACACAGCCACGTAGTGGCTTTTTGTTACGATTTAGCCACACCATTGTATGGATACACCATCTTGTGTGATCCACCCTATCATACGAGGGTACGTGTAACCCTGTTATACTCTCCCCCATCAGAATTGAGAAAACCCACAATTCACATTTAATTGTCCCCTCATACGAGGCTCGAGTGTCTGAGACACCGTTACGTCTTTAAGAACATATTTGAGCATTCTCCGGTCAATAAACCCTGGGTTTATATCAGTTACGAGGACGCCCGCGGGCAAAGCCCTTTTTCATCTGCACGGGGCGCAATTCCGGACAGTACGTCCGCGGCTTCACGGGAAGCACATTCCAAGCCCTTGGATTTCTCGTCGAGGATTCGGAGGAAGTCGAGTACGAGTCGGATACTTCTTTCCTAGCATGTGAAGACGAGTAGGTTGAGGTGTGCCAACGGTGCGACGTGAGCCCAGCTCGAGCCTTGCGACGTCGTGTGCGTTCCCTACCCTCTCGACTTCCGGGGAAAGTGGTATCGCTATTAATCGCCTCAACGAGTCACATGATCAGCAATTGGAGGCTGCGCAAAGGGCGGCTCAAATGCGCTCGTATCTACGTCCGGTACAAGACTCTACTTTGGAATATGGCTTCCACACGGCGGTTCCCGCTACTGAGGCGAAAGACGCGACCAGTCGATCGTTAGGTGTCTACGTAGTCGGGCTCCGGAAACTACATAAGCTGAGCTTGACCCGCGGAAATTTCTACGAGCTTGCTTCTTGGTACCCCAAGAAATTCCAATGGATTGGCACCGCACACAACTTCGAGCTCAAATAGGAGGCGCTCCTGTACCCGCAATGCCAACTATATCTGGAGTGCTCGCCTGTAACGGGGTTGCACGTTCCTTTGAATAAAATAGCGGGTCACACAAGATGGACCGACCGTATATAGGTCTGTATAACAAAAGTAATTGTAACCACACAGTGGCGTGGCAACACCGTAACAAGAAGCCACCACTTGGCAGGATTGCCAGAAGTAATGCATATTACTATATTAATTAGGTTTTGCTATATTGACTAGGTATTTATATATTTTAGGAAAAACCTAGGGTTTTAGATATTGGCGGCTATGCCGCAACTTAAACAATTAATTACAGTTTCATTTATAAATAGATGTGTTCGTCTGCCTTGATTTAGGTTTTTAGTGCTTGAAAGTTGCGGACTACGATCCGTTACACTTTTACTGGTTCTTGGAAAGAATGTAAGGTTGGGGACTTTAAC